CAAGACTCCCACGTAGTCAACTGTGGTTCAAGTCCTGGACCCAGCAGCTTGAAACTCATGCTGGGTGTGTGTGCATGTGTCTCCAAAATCCTGAGAGGAGAATGGAAGAGAAGGGGTTGCAGTGTGGCCATCGCCCCCAAGGGGTGATTTCTTGCTTTCTGTCTCTCTGTTTCTGTCTCTCCAGTGCACACACGCACCCTATAGCAAAATTCTCTCTTAGAAAAAAAATAAGCCTTGTCAGGTCAACAGGTGGTACGGTGGTTAAGTCGCTGAATCCTATGTGCTGACTGTGCAATTCTGGACCCAGCAGCTTGAAAAATACATCAGTTCCTGGATCTGTGCCCGGCATCCTCAGAGGAGAATGGAGGAGAAGGCATTGTGGCGTGGCCATCCACCCCCGGGGAGTGACTTCTCATTTTCCCTCTCTCTCTGTCTCTCTGGTGAGCACACGCACTCTATGGAAAAAAAACTAAAAATAATAAAAATTAAGTCTTAAATAACTAAAAAAAAAGCGAGTTAAAAAAATAAACACAGGGGCTGCCAGGTGGCATGGTGGTTAAGGGTGCTGGACTCTCACATGGCTGACCATGGTTCGAGTCCTGGATCTGGTGGCTTGCTCTCTCCCTCTCTCTTTCTCTTTCTCTCTCTTTCTGTCTCTCTGATCAAACTGGGTAATAATAACAATAGTAATAATAATAAATAAAAAATAATTATTTAGAGAATAAAATACAAACACAGTAGTGGGATGGGCAGGTCGTATTAAAATGTTTGGTGTCAGGGTAGGCCCCATTGGAAAGATGATCTCGGAACAAAGACCAAAGGAGAGATAAAGCAAGTCAGTGTGTTCCTGAAGTGCTGCAGGCAGGGGCAAGTCAGCCAAGGCGCTCAGACAGGAATGCGCCTGAGCAGGTTCAGAGAACAGCCAGGCGGCCAGCGTGGAGTGAGCAAAGGAGAGTGGAAGGGGTAAGAATACAGAAGAGCGGGAACAGGTCAGAGGGCCTCGGAAGCCGCTGCGGAGACTCTGGCTTTAATTTGGAGTTAGACAGGAGCAAGACCAGGGTTTGAGCTAGAAGAGGAATGTGATTTGACTTACATCTCAAAAAGGCAGGTATATAGGGCCCGCCCCGTAGTGCAGCGGTTAAATGTTGTGCACAGGGAATGGATCCCGTGGCTGATGGTGGTTCAAATCCTGGCCCCAGCCACTCGAAAAACATGCTGGGTGTATGCGTGTGAATGTCCAAAATCCCAAAGGGGAGGAGGAATACATGAGAAAGCATTATTGCATGACCAGTGAGGGGTGGTCTCTCTCTCTCTCTCTCTCTCTCTCTCTTCTCTCTGGCTAGCACATGCACCTTCTGGCAATTAAACAAATTCTAAAAGATGGGTATATATATGTTCACCGTAAAATTCTTTCCACTTTATTGTACATTTGAAAGTTTTCAAAATAAAACATGGGAAAAGTCATACGAATAGTAAATAAATTTTATACATTTTAAACATTAAACACTAAACCAAAAGATCTCTCTGGCTGAGGTTAAGTACAGACTGGCTTTTACTCTTAGTGAAATGGAGATTACTGCTCTAACTTCAGTTTTCACCTGTAAGGATTCTCTGCTTTCCCATAATACACTTTCCTTAGCTGTCAGCAGGGAGACTGACATTTTCTTTATCCATCCATCAACAGACATGTGGATTGCTTCCATATCTCGGACACTGTGAAAAACTGCTGCAGTGAATATGGGAGTGCAGGCATCTCTTCAACATACTAATTCCTCAGAATGCATATCCAGCCGTGGAATTGCTGAATCAAACAGTAGTCCTATTTTCAATTTTTTGAGGCACCTCTCTACTGTTTTCTGTAATGGCTGCCCTGGTTTACCTTTCCATCAGGATTGTTACAAAGGTTTCCTTTTGTCTGTGTGCTTCCAACACCTGCTCTCTTTTGTCTTTTGATAACAGTCACTCTAACGTGAGATGATATCTCAATGCAGTTTTCATCTGCATTTCTCTGACAACTTCTGCTGTTGGTTATTTTGTCATATGCCTGCTGGCTATTTGTATGTCTTTCGAGAAATGTCTATTCATGTCCTTTGCTCATTTTTCTAATCAGGTTATTTATTTTCTTGCTATTGAGTTGTCTGAGGCCCTTACATATTTTGGACATTAACTCCTTATCAGATGTATGGTTGGCAAATACTTTCCACATCCTCTGGGCTGTTTGTCACTCTGTCGCTCATCCCCTTCGCTGTGCAGAGACTTCAGAGTAATGCAATCCCATTTGACTATATTTGCTTTTCTTGTGCTTTTGGAGTCATGTCTAAAGAACTGCTATGTAGTTTTCCCCTATGTTTTCTTCTAGTGGCCTTATAGTTTCAGATCTTACGTTTAAGTGTTTAGTCCATTTTGAGTTAATTTTTGTATATGATGTGAAGGGTCCAGTTTCATTCTTTCATATGTGAATATCCAGTATTCTAAATACCATTTATTGGGTCCTTCTCCATTGTGTGTAGTTGGCACCTTTGTCAAAGATCAATTGACCATCAGGACCAGCAGTTAGCGTAATGGCTGTCACTGGACTCCCATGTAGTCAACCACGGTTCGCGTCCCGGACCCAGTGGCTTAAAACTCACGTCGGGTGCATGTGCATGTGTGCCCAAGATCCCGAGAGGAGAATGAAGGAGAAGGGATTGCGGCGTGGCCATCCCCCCTGGGGGGTGATTTCTCGCTTTCTGTCTCTCTGTCTCAGTCTGTCTGGCGAGCGCACGCGCCCTATAGCAAAAACCTCTCAAAAAAAAAAAAAAAATCAATTGACCATAGATGTGTGGATTTACTTCTGGAGTCTCTATTCCAGTGGCCTCTATGTCTCTTTCTATGCTAATACCATGCTGTGTTGATGCCTCCAGCTTTATTGTTTTTGCTCAAGATTGTTTTAGCTATTCAGGGTCTCTTGTGGTTCATCTGAATATTAGCACATTTTTTCCCATTTCTGTGAAAAATGTCATTAGAATTTTGATAGAGATAGCATTGAACCTATAGATCGCTTTGAGTAGTTCAGACATTTTAATGATATTAATCTTCTAATCCATGAATATGGTATATCTGTCCATATATTTGTGTCTTCTAAAACCACATGTGGGACCTACATGAATCTCGAACTTTCCCATCTGGATCAGCTTCCCAGAGCATCAGGTTTTTACCAGTCCAGCCTCAGTTTAATACAACATTTTATGTGTAAGATCTAAAGCCAAAATCTCTGTGAGTGAAAGTCAGGGTATGCAAAGCCGCCATAATCACTCATGAGGAAGACTTTATGGGGAAAAAAGTTCAGATACTCCTGGCCTGGTTAAGTCCCTCTGCCACTCACTCTTAGCACAATTGGAGCCAACTTGTTGGGCGAGTTGTCATCTATACAATGACTTTCTCTGCCAGCAGATGCTGGGCCCACCCTGCATCTACCCACAGGGCCAGACTGGGTACGTGGTTAACAGCCTGAGGGAAGAAGCACTGTCCAGAGAAGGAACAGCACAGACTTCAAAGAAGGTGCCCAAGTAAGTAATGTCAAATAGAAATGAGCCAGAGTGTAGATCCTGGCAGGAGGTTATAGGGTGGGGTAATGAAGGGAGTGGAGAGTGGGTCAGGGATGGCATGCAGGAAGGGGGGAGTAAACAGAAGCAGTTGCTGCCTGCTCTGTCACTTGGGCTTGGCTGGCCTTAGCCATTCCATCCCTTCCCCATGCAGTAGGAGGTGAGCTACCATGACAATTCAGGGAACAGTGACATTCCAGGATAGAAAACCCTGGATTCGGAGCATATCAGGTAGGCATATACAGAGAAGCACATGTAACAACACTGAATTATGGAATGAGGCCCATTAATCAAGGAAGCACCTGGAGGAGAAGGGGGGTCCCCTCTGCTGCAGGGAGATGGGCAGGAAGAGTCACAAATAGGAGTTGATTTACAAATCCCATTTGACATGACAGGAGGAGAAGGAAAAGGCAAGCAGGTGTTCACAAGGGTCTGTGTGCTGCTAGCACTTTAAGGAAAGTTTCCATGAAGAGAAGCCACACCAACAAGGATGCGAAATACAATGGTGTGGGGCACCCAGTGGCCTGGTGGTTAAGGTGGCTGGATCCCACATGATTAACCATGTAGTTCCAGTCCTGGACCTGGACCTGGTGACTTGAGACATACACCAGGCATGCATGTGTGTGTGTGCCCACAGTCCCATGAGGAGGGAGGAAAGGAGGAAAAGGGATTGCGACATGACCATTCCCCATAGGGTGTACTTACTCCTCTCTCTCCCTCTCTCTCCCTCTCCCCCTCCCCCTCCCCCTCTCTCTCTCTCTCTCTCTCTCTCTCTCTCTCTCTGTGTGTGTGTGTGTGTGTGTGTCTTTGGTGAGCACATTCACTCTCTGGCAAATTTAAAAACAAAAACAAAAACACTGTGTCTGATTTTCTTTCCCGCTCAAAGATATCCATTAATACTGCTGGAGGCCCAGGGCCGTGCTGCACAGGCTAGGAGGAATAGTCTCTCTTCCTTTCCCCTGTTAATATGGGAAACCTTTATAGGTTGCTTCTTTTTACCTGTAGGAATTCACCCAGAGCAGTGAGGGTGTACTCACAGTGCTCAGAAATGGGAAACCAAATGGCCAACCACAAGAGTCCGGTTGGTTAAAATACTACGTAGTCCTAAGAAAAGCATGTTATCAAGGAGGAGTTAAAGGCATGAAAATGGCAGCATGCTATATCAACGAAATAGGCAGGTTACAAAATAATATTATCCCAACTTTATGGGGAAGATTACACATATTTAAAAGAATGAAAAGAAATAGAATGTTCAAAAAGTCTACCTCTTTGATAGGGGTGAGATTATGGATGATAACCTTCCACATTCTTACTGTCTATTTTGTGCAGTGAAGATGCTTTTCTGTTTAAAAATCAGATAGGAACATAATATATGCTGAGAGGTGCATGTGACTGAGAACGCATGGGGAGGCTCACCTTCTGCAGGACGGGGGTGGGGCAGGCGTTGTCAAACAGGACTGAGTTGAAGATTCCATACACGCCTTCGTGGAGATGGTACATGAAGGTCTTGGGGGCAGAACCATTTTCCTCTGCAGGGAGGGGAGGGGTGAGGGCGGCACAAGCAGCACAGTGAGGGCGTGGGAGTGGGGAGCTGGCGTGCAGAGGAGTGCGGGGAGGATAGGAGGTCTATGAGGCAAAGGGCTGTCCCTTCCGCAACTATGGGCTGGGCCCTGCGACAGGAGCCGTCAGCTGCCACAGTCCTGATGACGGTTTGTTGCCCTGCTGGGCACACTCACCCTTGCACGGAGAAATTGCCCAAGACACACCCCCGCTGCATCTGAGCCCCCAGATGCCCTAGCAAAGGCAGGGTAGCAGCCCTCCTTGAACTCAAGACCCCAAGGGGCACACGACAGAGCAGTGCAGGAGCTAGAATGAGAAGCCAGGTCCCCTGGCTGGTCTAGGCAGGATGAGCCCCAGGTCTGCTGACGAGGCTGGAAGAACACCATCTCTATCCACACACAGACACTACTGGAGCCCACCACCCGCCGCGCGGCTCCTCCCGAGGGAGCAGCTCACAGTCTCCAGGCCCTCCTGCCCAGGGGTCCTGGAGCAGACGGCAAAGCCGCAAGATCCCTGGTCCCTCACACCCACTGGGCGGCTGGGAGGGCAGACAGATCTGGAGGGGCGGGAAGAGCGCTGATGCCAGCAGTGTGGGCACAGAGCTTTGCGTTTAGCGTCCCCCCAGACTGAGCTTGAGCCCTGGTGCTGCCCTGTGTCAGCTGCCTGGCCTGGGACGGGTGACTGGACCTCTTCCTGCCTCCAGGACGTAAACAAACGTAAGTTCCCAGCAGTTATCCTCGTTGCACGCTGAGAAGCAGCAGGGCGGGTATGAACCTGTTCTTTGAGGAGGACTCAGGCATGGGGTCAAATGCAGGTTTTCCCTCTTACTAGCTATTAAGCAATGCACTGTATTTTCTTTGGCTCTCGGTTTCCTCATCTATAAAATGGGATCACTGAAGTAGCTATTCTCCCTAAGGCTGTTTGATCTCAATCTTCACCATACATGAACACACCTGGCCAAAAAGGATGTTAAGGAAGTGTCTTGGGGTGAGGGGACTTGACTGTAAGTTCCCCTAATGCAAAGGCCCGTTCTCCCGATCCCGCACCCTTCTGCCTGTGCCTAAGTCCAGACCCTGCTGGGCCAGACTGCCTCAGCTTCAGGGGAGAAGGGGCTCTGCCGCCCGTCCAGCACCTACCGTCCCTGCCGGGCTGGCCCAGAAGAACCTCCTGCTTGGCGACGACGCTGACTGCCACGGTGAAGGCCGAGGCCACGTAGTAGCGCCCCAGCTCCGCCAGGATGTCCACACCACAGCCCTCCGGGAAGTACAGGTCTAAGGCCGAGCTGATCACAGCAGCGATCTGGCGAGACAGGGCGGGGGCCAGGCACGTCTGAAACGCGGGCTTTGTGCTGAAGACTTGCTCCGGCTCCGTCTGTTTCTTGAAGCTTCTTTGATTTCACCAAGGACTTGGCAGCTGCTGAGGCCACAGCTGGGAACCACAGGCAGCAAGCCAAGGGGGGGAGGGGCAGGACAAGGTGAACCCTCATGTGAAGACGTCACCCTCCTCGGCAGCCCCCACAGTGGGAAGGGACACTGCATGACGCCAGGTACTCGGTTTCCAGAGGCCCTGGTGCGGGTCTTTCTCTCATAAATAACCAATATGTTAAATCATACATTTAATTACAGAAAATACAGAGAAGTGGGACAGTCAGGTGACATCGTGGTTAAGGCACTGGATCCCACTACGCCAACTGTGTGGTTCGAGTCCCAGAACTGGATGCCTGAGAAAGATGCAGGGCGTGTGTGTGAGTGTGCCCAAGATCCCAAGAGAATAATGGAGAAGGGATTGCAGCGTGCCCATCCCCAGGGGGTGATTCCTCATTGTCCCTCCGTCTCTCCCCAGGAAGCACATACACCCCAAAGTAAATTTTAGAAAGAAAGAAAGAAAATACAGACAAGTAAAAAGATCAAAGTAACCCCAAATTCAATCATCCACACGAATCTAACCATTGTTAGCTTTTTTTAAAAGAGATGTTTGCTATAGGGTATGTGTATTTGCCAGAGAGACAGAAAGTGAGAGACCACCCCGCCCCCGCCCACCCAGAGGCTCCCTGACGCCCTCCTCTCCCTGCACAGCCCCACAATCCCTTCTCCACCATTCTCCTCTTGGGATTTTTGGGCATGCACACACATGCGCCTGGCATGTTTTAAGCCACTGGGTCCGGGACTCAAACCGTGGCCAACTACGTGGAGTCCAGCAACACAACCATTACGCCATCTGCTGGTCCCAACACTGTTTTCATTATAAACGTGACGGAGCTGTGTGCGTATTTATAGTCTGTTTACTCTGCAGATGTGAATGGCCTCCCACGTGAGCTAATGTGTTAATCACAAGCACGTGCCATGGTTTAACCATCCCCAAGGGCAGAGGGACCAGGGAAGCCTGTGTGAACAAGGTAGTGTTGTTCACATCTGCCAGCCCATCTCTGAGGCCAGGTCTTTGTTTCTGTCCTGAATTACTCGGTTCAACCCTTGAGGCGGCTGTTCCAGAAGCGACCCCTTGTGGTTGGAGTGGGGATTGCTAGGACACACTTTTCTTGGCTTCGTCTCAGGACGGGAGGGGACCAAAGGTTGGTTTTCTCATCCTCTGCCTGACCCCCCATCTGAGGATGACCCTCAAGGAGCTGACGACTTATGCAAATATGCTGGTTGAGTCTGAGTAGGCCGGCAGTGCAGGAGCTGGCTCTGCTGTGAAGCCAGGAAGTGGAGTGCCCCACAGCCCCAGCCTCAGCTGCAGCCCAGGGCTAGTGAGCGGTGAGCTGGCCCAGCCGACGGGCAAGCACCGCATGTGGCAGGCAGGACCCACCTCCGGAACCCTCCCCACATGCCACAGGGCCCAGCGTGACACCCCTGGTCCCAGCTTACCTCTTCCAATCTCGCTTTGGTCCCCTCCAGGGCAGGGAAGCCACCGCCAAGGTCCAGGACGTGCATCCTGTGGCCCAGCTCGGCGCCCATTTCGAACACCAGCCGGGCATCTGCGATGGACCGTGTGTAGGCCTGCGGGTCGGGACAGCCGCTGTCCACGCGGAAACTGCGAAGGGAGGAGGAGCCTCGGCTTACAGCAGGCCACGGCGGCTCCAGCCTGGAGCCCGCCACCTTGGGCAGGCACACAGGGCCCTGTGCCCTTCACAGAGGCAGTGACTGAGGGTCTGAAACATGAACTGGGCTGCAAAGGGCCACGTGGCAGAGGGGAATGACAGGAAGCTAGAGCCCAGGTCCCTTGGCACTTGGGCTCCTACCATCCCTCCTCACTGCCGCTGGAGACAGCCTCTGAGGTGAGGCCAGGGCCCCCAGGCCCCCAGGGCCAGCCAGATCCTGCTCCCCTCCCGGCCAGTGGTGCGGCCTGTGCTCTGCATGAAGTGGGGAGAAGACCCTCCCTTACCCCACACAGCTGCGGTAGCAACTCGCACGGCGCCTGGCCCAGCCTGAGTGCAGGATTCCGACGCTCTGCACCAGGTCGGGGTTAGTCCTTCCACACCCACAAGGAGAGAAGCAGATGGCCGGGGGTGGCAGGGGGTGGAGGGGAATAGGGGACTCTTTGGCCCACAGGCTGGTAAAACTCCCTTGAAGCCAGGTCCCTGGTTAGAACCTTCTGGAACAAGAACTTCTGGGGCTGTGGGGCTGGGGAAGGGGTCATTCTAAACCTTCTTTCCAAAGAGAGGAAATTCCAAACAGCAGGCTCCCAGGCCCAGGGTCAGGGAAGGTCTCAGAGGGACGGAATTCTCGGGAAGGAGGCCGCGGACCAGGCCAGGGTGGGGACGGGGCTCCCGGAGCGCACCTCACCCCTACCACCTCCACGTGGCTCTCCTTGGCGTGCTCGAGCAGGCGCCTGCAGGATGTCAGTGACGCTCCGAACTGCAGGCTCAGCTGGCTCGGGGAGTGGGAGTCGGTGGGGGCGATGCACAGGACCATCCTGGGGAGACGCCACCTCTGCAGGTAAGCGCTGTGCACCCCCACCCCCCACCACGTGCTCTGCGGGTAAGCCCCGGGAGCCCGCTGGCTCAGGGCCGCACGCCCAGAGGCTCCCTGACGCCCTCCTCTCCCTGCACAGCCCGTCAAGTCCTTCCGATTCGTCCCCTGAATAGCCCTGGCCCTTCCTGCAGCAGTGTGTGGTCCAGACCCCACCAGTGCTCCCCCGGCTGGCCCCAGCTCCCCAGGCTGACCCCCCACATGCCCAGTCTCCTGACTGCATTATGAGAGGATCCTTCTCAAACAGTCTTACGGAGAACCCCTGCATCAGGATGGAAGCTGCCTTGGGGTCCCCCACCTGGCCTTTCACGCACTCCAAGGCCCCTCCCTGGAACCCCAGATGTCAAGGAACTTTGTAAATCCGCAGCCGGAGAAAATGGCCATCCTTGACCCCTCTGAAGTCCATTTGCGCCAGGTCCCTGTTAGTGACCAGCGCCATCCTCTCTCCCGCACCCCTCACCATAGCAGGGTTCTGGGCTCCTCGAGCGCCCTACGCTGTTCCAATCCCCACATGTTCTGCCGCTCCCTGTACGCTCCCCAAATTCTGTCCACTTCTCAAGGCCTACTTCAGATGCTGTCCTTCAGGAAGCACGGGCTCCCTGCTGCTGGGTGCCGTGGCCGGTCATTTCTGCCTCTGTTCTAGCCAGGCCCTGGCACCATGGGTCCAGTCTGGGGTCATGCCCTGACCTCCAGTGGTGTGGCCGGGTCCCGGGCAGGGGCCTCTGCCCCAGTTCACTGCTCCAGCCCCTCCACCCTCACCCGGCAGCCCAGCCTTCCCAGGGTGGCCCTCAGCTTACTTGGCATTGGGGTGGCTTCTTACCACCTTTGCCAGCTCCACCTCGTTGTCAAAGCTCAGCAGCTGGATCCCACGCTGGGCCGCGTACCTGACCTGTGCGATCTGCTTGCAGGGGTTGGTGTAGATGATCTTGCTGGCAGGGACACCAATCCGCTGGACCAACTCCATCTCTGCCTGTGGGTCCCGAACATAGGGGTGAGGCGGGGTCTGCTGGCCCCGGAGCCCAAGGAGGCAGGGAGGGCAGAGTCCTAGCTATGCTCTGAGAGGCCCATAGCAGGTGGGCTTGCCTTACACCACCGATGCACAAAACCAGGACTTAGGCTGACCCACCGATCTGTGAGAGGCAGGGCTGCCGAGCTCGGCCAGGCAGGTGGGGCAGAGCAGTCCTGGCCCCTCAGTGAATACGGGAGGATCCGCATGTTTATTACAACTGCCTGGCAGCAAAGCACCTCATCCTAACAAAGGCAGTGTCCTTATAACGATTAAATGTCAAAGAAGAGCCGCAGAGTCACATGGAGCCACCCTCTGGACTCATGGCAGCCCTGATAACGGGTTTCTGACACGTTTTCCTGGCAGATTTAAGTCTTTAAAGAATTACTTGGAAAACAGTATGGAGGTTCCCCAAAAAATTAAAAATAGAAGTGCCATATGATCCAGCAATCCCACTACTAGATAGCTAACCGAAGGAAATGAAATCAATATATTGAAAAGATAGCAAGCCAGCCAGTGGCGTGGTGGTTAAGGACGCTGGATCCCACACGGCTGACTGTGCGGTTTGAGTCCTGTACTTGGTGCTTAAAAGCATACCCAGTGCGTGTGTGTGCCAAAAATTCCCAGAGAGTCAAGGAGAAGGGATTGCAGCATGGCCATCGCCCCATAGCAAACTTTTTTAAAACAAGAAATGATATCTTTTTTTTTCCATTTATTTATTTTTTTAATTTAATGAGAGAGAGAGAGACAGAGAAAGAAAGCAAGCTGCCAGGTCCAGGACTTGAACCGTAGTCAGCTATGTGGGAGTCCAGCGCCCTTAACCACCAAGCCACCTGCTGGCCCCAAGAAATGATATCTTCACTCCCTGCTCAGCACAGCGTTATTCACAAGGTTTGGAATTGAAGCAAGTGTCCACTCACAGGAAGATGGGTAAAGAAAACGTGGTATATACACATACGGGAATGCCACTGGCCCTTTAAGAAGAAGGAAATCGGTCATTTGCAACAGCATGGTCAGACTGGGAGATGTCACATAAGTAAAAAACGTCAGGGCCAGAGAGAGAAATGCGCACGACCCCACTTATCTGTGGGACTTCAGAACATCAACTGCAAGAAGCAAAGGGCAGAATGGTCGGTGCCAGGGCTGCGGGCGTGGGTGGGGAGCTGGGGAATGTCGCGGAGGACAGAGTCCCAGCGAGGACGGGTCAGTCCCAGGTGGCTGCTGCACCTCACGGCGGCTGTGGTCAACAACACACGACACACTGAGAAACTGCCAAGGGGGCAGATTGGAGGTGCTCCGGCTACAAAGACGCAGAACGGGAGTTACTGCTTACGTTAATTACTCCGACAGCCATTCCACTACGGGTACGTGTACCCAGACACTGTGTGGTACACCTGACATACGATTTTTATTTATTGAATTCATAAATATTAGGTCATCAGGAAAGTCATGACATAATTTTCTTTTCTTTTTTTTAATGCAAAAATGTGTCATGACTTTCCTGAAAGCCCAATAGGTAGTAAGAATGAATGGCCCAGCTCCGCAGTGCACCCTGCTTAAGAAAGAGCAGATTCGGGACCAGCAGTTAGTGTAATGGCTATGTCGCTGGACTCCCCTGTGGTCGACCGCGGTTCACGTTCCGGATCCGATGGCTTAAAAAACTCACGCTGGGCGCATGTGCGTGCGTGCCCAAGATTCCGAGAGGAGAATGGAGGAGAAGGGATTGCGGCATGGCCATCCCCCCTGGGGGGTGATTTCTCGCTTTCTGTCTCTCTGTCTCTCTCTGTCTGGCGAGCGCACGCGCCCTATAGCAAAAACCTCTCCAAAAGAAAAAAAAGAAAAAGCAGACTCCACATGATAACCATAGTTCGAACCCCTGGCCCCTCAGCCTGAAACACACCAGGCACGCCTGCAAGTGCCCAAGATCCAGCGGGCTGGAGGAGTTGAAGAAGGGGATCACGGAGTGACAACCCAGTGGAGGATGCTTTTTCCTCTCTCCTCTCTTCCCTCACTCCCTCTCTCACTCTCTTGTATACACATGAGCTCTATCATTAACAAGGGAGAAAGATACGTAAATGTTTTTAGAGAAGAGCCAGATGGTGGCACAGAGCTAACATGATGACCTGAGAGACGGACCCGCAGGGAAGGTTCTGGGTTCGCATCCACAGACTTCCCTGAGCACGCCAGACACACATGTACCATGACCCAGGGCTGGCTGAGGCGGAGGGTGGGTCGTGGCATCAAGACCCTGTTGGGATATCGTCTCTCTGTCTCCTGTCTCTGTTGCTCATAGATGAAATAAATAGACTTTAAAAAACAGACATATCCTTTTTAAAAAGTTCATGGAAAATGGGATTTCAGCCACCGAAGACCCTCTGCCCAGACTTCACGCTCCTGCTCCCCGGGCAGCCAGGAGCCAGGATAGGGCACCCTACTCTCTCTGTCTCTTTCCATATCTCTCTATTTTAATGTTTTTTTAATTTTGAAACTTAGCTCTCTGCTGCTCCTTTGTCTTTCTGATTCTTACCTTTCCCCCACCCCCACAGGATAAGCCAATCAGTAGTCATCTATATTTGAGCTACGAGGGACCCCATTCGTGCGGCATGAGGTTTTCATTTTTTAACAAAAAAAATTTTATTCTCTTTTTCTTATTGTTTTTGTCTTTTTCTTTCTCTTCTTCTTCTTCTTCTTCTTTTTTTTTCCCTATTCCTTTTCCTTTTATTTTTACTTTTCTCACTGTTCTGCTCAGCCTCCACACCCTGATTTTCTAGATTGGTCTAGGTGCTCAGTAGCCAATTTTCTGAGTACTTCTAGGTCAGATTAATCCTCAATTTTCATTGAATCTGTTGTGCAAAGGGAAAAAAAAGGTACTGTTTACAGACTGCAGGTCACCTCCTTCTGCATTCCTCTGTCTGCTCAGATTTAACTCCAAAAAATAGGAACAAACGTATAATCCATCAGTGACCAGAAATTACCACAGACACAAGAATATGAAAAGAAAATATCTCTCCTCTAATGGAAAAGAATAACTCCTCCATTGGAAAATAAAACAAAAACAAAAACAGAAACAAAAACAAGGGAACTCATGGACACGTCAGGTAAAGAATTTAAAACACTCAGTGACAAAGCTAACAGATGCAAGAGAATAGAGACAACGAACACCAGAAGATGCAGGAGAAAAGAGATACCGAGTTCCAGGAGGTGAGGAAGTTCTTGCATGATCTGAAAGAGAAAATGCACATCATAAAAAAGAATCAAACAGAATTGTTAGAGATGAAGGCTGTAATACAGGAAATCAAAACTTTCCTTGAAAATATGAAAAGCAGATTAGATCATGCAGAAGATAGAATCTCAGATATAGAAGATAGACCCTCTGACCTAAAAAAATTCACGTACAAAAAAAGACGGAAAAAAAAATGGGGGGGGGGGGCAAAATAAGAAGCAAGAAATAGAAAATTATTTGGTGATGATAACATGTATGGGAATATCCTTGATTGAGCCAATAAACAACACAAATAATATAAGTAATACTAGACACCATTAAATGCCTGAACATCTGGATCATTAGTATCCCAGAGGGTGAAGAAACTAATCAGGGCACTGATAATCTATTCCATGAAATCCTGGAAGAAAACTTCCCAAACCTAGAGAGGCATTCAAATGTCCCTAGAGAGGTATTCAAATATCAAGACCCAAGAAATACATAGGACCCTACATAGACTCGACCCAAGAATATCTTCCCCAAGACACATCACAGCCAGCTCGACCAAAACCACAGACAGAAACAAGATATTAAAATTGACAAGAGAGAAACGTCAAGTTACTTTCAAAGGATATCCCATAAGGCTAACGTCAGACCTCTCATCAGAAACAATGCGAGCAAGGAAAGAATGGGAGTATATAGTGTTAAGTGAAAAACAATTTCAACCAAGAATACTATACCCAGCAAGATTATCTTTCATATGGGAAAAAAAAAAAAAAGACAAAAACATTCTCAGATAAAACCTGAAAGAATTTACCAACACTTTACCAGCTCTCCAAAAAGTGCTGAAGGGAGTCCTATACCTAAAATTGGATGCAGAAATAAGAGTACAACAGGCTGGCAGGTGGTGTGGTGGTTAAGGTGCTGGACTCCCACATGGCCGACCATGGTTCGAGTCTCAGACCTGGAAGCTTACTTTCCTACTTTCCTTTCTCTCTCTGTTTCTCTGTGATCAACTTAAACAAATAATAATGATGATAATAAATTAAATAAAATAATTCTTTTTTTAAAAAAAAGAAATAAGAGTGCAAGAAACAACCAAGGGAATGGCCAGCCTAATGGTAGGGACAAGTCCGGAGTTGAATGTTAACTTCCAGAGTTTAAATGGCAAGATCAGACCACAGGAACACTGCAAATTCAGTAGAAGAGAGATTTACTACATGAGTCTGAACTAGTGAAATAATTTAGACTGAAACATTACTGATTTTCTTTGATGATTTAATTTTTTTTTTTTTTGGAGAGGTTTTTGCTATAGGGCGTGTGCACTTGCCAGAAAGACAAAAAGCAAGAAATCACCCCCACGCCACAATCCCTTCTCCTCTATTCTCCTCTTGGGATCTTGGGCACGCATACACACGCGCCCGGCGTGAGTTTAAGCCACCGGGTCCGGGACTCTAACCATGATCGACCCCGTGGGAGTCCAGCAACATAGCCATTACGCCAACTGCTGGTCCCCCTCCTTCTCACCTTTACAGAACGGCCCCTCCCAAAAGATAGAGACGGCAACGTCAGTGACGACCCAGGAGAACCACGGTCATTGAGCCCCTGCCCCAGCACGCCCTGAGAAGGCTGCTTTTACATCGCGTGTTGCAAACTGCATGTGTAAAGGGTCAGAGTAAATCCTTCAGGCTTTGCAAGGCAGATGGCCTCCACTGCAGCACCTGGACCACTGAGCCTGGACCACTGAGGCAGCTGCAGACAC